AAGAAATGCATCATTAGGCAAATTCTGCACATGTCAAAGAGTACATCTACACAAGCCCGGGTTCCAGCCTACTGTGTGGGTCAAGCTGTTGGTACCATGGTCCTATGCGCGGTTTATCTTTGACGGATCAGTCATTTAGCATCGCAGGATGGCCATCTTTGGTGAGCCTGATAGTTAATATTCTTATAACTCCAAGGGAATTTATAGCCATCCTTGCCCTTTCTTCATGTTTTGGATATTCCTTCTTAACAGTTCATCTAAGTTTGAATGTCATGTGCGGAGCACCATACGAGGGTACTAAAGTACATAAGACCTGGGCCCTCCTGGTGGCACAAGGGGTTGAAGCACAGCACTATGAAGCTATCTGCAGCCACACCCGAACAAATTCCTTCCCTGGCCAGGGAGCCCACATGTTGCAGGAGATGTCTCCTGTCCAGTCTGCTGCTCCCCCTCAGCAGTGTATTTCAGTCAATCTGCCTGTTTTGCGCCCCCGCCCCCACTTTCTCTGATGAATCCTCTCACCCACCCCCAACACATACACCTCTGGCATACACACCAGCTCTTGTATGCATAAATAAATACATCTTTAATAAATAAATAAATATTTTAAAATAAAAGATAAATAAGGCTTGATCCTTGTTCTTAAGTACCTTGTGCTCTAAAAGAGAAAGACTGCCAAGTAAACAACTATGACATTACTGTATTATAGGTATTATAAATCTCCACAGAGCACAGGGAAGACACTAAGGAGGAGGTAGGTAGTTCTACTAGGAAACCAAAATGGCCAGAGGCATTTCCCAGGTGCTAATGAAGGAAGGCTGTTCTAGGTAGGGAGAACAATCATTCAAACATGCGAGAAGACATCTCACAGCCAGTCATTTTACTGGCCACAACCACAGATTATGGCATTTAATTACCATAATTAAGTGAACTATCACTTAGTTGCAACATTTCAGCAATATTATATGTTTGGAGTGGGGAAATCCTAGGCAGGGATGGTCTTACACTTTTTTGAAGTAAGTAAAATGCAGTGAGCAATTGATGAGATTTTTAAAAATTAGGAAAATTGACATTTGGAAGCAATTCAAATCCCAGCACAACTTTGCTAGCTATGAGAGCTTGGGTAAGTCAATAAATCAATCTCTGCTATTCCTTTATGAAAGACAGATCTGAATCCACCCGAGTACCCTAAGGTATAAGGAAGAAACAAGTTTCTTTGGAGATTCCCAGGCAGCAAGGCAGCAGAATTCAAAGCTCTCTATGCTTTTGCCATCCTGCAGGTCAGCATGCTGGGTCTGGCAGAGCTGGCTGGGCACCACAGGAGAATGGCGGATGCCTGTGGTAAGACTTCCACCATGTCACACTAGCTAGTACTATGGAGGAAAAAAGCCAGAGGGAGTATTTAAGTAAACCCATCCACCCCTTGTTGAGACCTCTTGCTTTTTTATTCAATTACTTGGCTGAACATTATGTGTAGTGAAGTTTATTTGCCTTTTAGTGTGAAGTCTGATTTTATTCCTTAGAAGGCTCAGCTTTAGGCATGTACATAGTAACCTGGATCGATCGGTTTTAACTTTGACTCTCTATTTCCTTGATCATTTTGTCAAGCCACTTGCCTTTGTTAATTGAACTGCCTTTGTTAATCGTTACCCTCAATTGTCAGTCCATTTTGCTGTTGTTCTAGATGTATCTTAAGTCAGACATTTCTCTGCAGTCTGGTTCAACTAGAACTAGGTCTTTTTGCATAGGTAGTTTTTGAAGCTAGAATTTGTAATGACCACAGTAAGGTTCTTTCTTCTTACCCACTTCTTAACTGACTAGTGAATTAGTTTACAATTTAGCTTATTGTTTTCATGGAGCTTAAACCTCCTCTAAATTGCTTGCCACTAACTTCTTTTCTGTTCTCGAAAGTACACTTAGGCTGGAACTTCCCTACTCTCCCAAATCAGTTCTGTTGGGGAGCTCCAGAGTTCTCTATTATGGCCTGCCTCCCCCAGGAAAAATCTTTAGTCACTGCTGTTACTTGGGTGTGGTTACCATGCCTGCTATGCTGGGATGTGTTTGAGTCGAGCTCAGTTGGTATGGTAGCTTCGGGACTTTATGCTTGCCTCTCCTGGTTTGGAGACTGTCCTATGAGCAAGCGAGGAAGCGAATGATCAAGGTCCCAACCTTCCGGGCCTGTGCTCCTGGTTTGTTGCCTGTATACCATAAGCGAGAGCTGGGTGGAGAATAGAAGTCCTGACTTTTTGACTACACTTGCCAGTTCAGCCTTTACAACACAAATCAAGAAGGGCAGGAGAAATACTGGCAACTTCTCCAGAGAGTAACCACAACCTTGACCGAGAATTGGGAGGAAAGCATTAATTTGACCATACCCACTCAGAGTGGAACTTCTTAGTGCTGACCTGTGTACTTATTGATCATCCAATTCATACAGTCCCTAATAGCATAAGGAAAAATAACCAGGCAAATTTGTTCTCTTTTCATTTTAAATGCAACCATGGGAGTATCTTTTTAAAATTCTGGAACAAGAATGTAGTTTTCAAAGATCATATGAACTTCTAATTTTTTATGTCACTCAGTAGTGATTCTGTAAAAGCCAGAGTTACTGGTATGCATGTAAAATTTTTTAACAACTAAAGATAATCAAGATAATTGTTAAACTAAAAAATTCATACCTGTCACACTTTGCCTTCACTGTTAATGATACATCTCTAAGAAAAGGACGACACAACTTATAGTGAAAAAGTAAAATAATCTCATGTACTTGGATTTCCAAGTAAAAAATGTTGTAATTTTAACCAGTTTAGTTTTTTTTTTACAATGACAGAATTATTTCTCATACACATGACAGATATACAATTAGTAAACTCTTAAGTTGTTTTTACAAAATTTTAAAACTCTTTAATTTGGAGCTTGACAGTTTCAAATTGTGCAGTAGTTCAAAGCAAAGTTTATATCTATGTTATAAGCAAGTATAAAGGAGTGGCAACCAATTCTATTCCAATCCAGAGCCGTTTAAAAGAATCCAAGGAAAATAATCGCCTAAGTGTAAATGGTAAATGGAAATGGTAAACAGAACAGATGACCCTATTCTCAGGGATACCTTACATGAGGATTTCTCCAAGGTTCACAGGTTAGGCTAGTGTTCAATAAGCCTAATACATTGCTCCTCATTCTAAAACTCTGTGGCACTATATTTTTCCTAACAGCTCTTTCAAGTTATTTCTTCTATTACAAGTGATGTTACAGGGAGATGGAAATATTAGTTTGTCACTATGTGCTTAAAATAAAAGTTATCTTTCAGAATATACTGCAGTTCACATGGGTCATCTCTCCATTTGTTCCAGGTTGAGATCTTGTCTTTGCTCATTTCAGTCTGAGTTTCACTATGCCTAATGTTCTATTGTATATTCTTGGCAACACTGTAAAATACAAAAGGCACAATGAATTTTTTTTTAAATATCCAACAAATGTTGTATCTCAAATTCAGAAATAAAGATATGATAAACGATGAAAATTCCCTATGCTTAACTATGATAAGTTATTTAAGTGCAAACTGTTGGTATGCATACTGCTTGTTTAATTTCCTCTAAATAGGGATTACTTATGTTGAGAAAAGAAATTAGCTTCAATTTAAAACATAATGTTAAAAGGCTAACTACAATTACCACTTTTACAGGACAACGTTGAAATCTTGATTCTGGGAATGCAAGTGAAAAAAATATTTTATGTAGATGACAATTTAGATTAAAGATATATACTTTGCAAAATATTTACTCAAAGATCTTTCATAAACTTGTTGAGAAATGAAATGCTAAAACAAAGTACTTGGAGACTTGTGTTTTCCAAAAACACTGTGGACATCCATGAATAACTAAAAAGTCTTCTTATTCATTAGTTTTAAATGCTATTAGACTATGTAACTTGAAGCAATCTTCTTATCATAATTTTGTTTTTGAAATATGGGTACATAAAAATGAAATCTCCAAGAATCAAAAACACTATCCACTGACAGCATGGCAGTGAATGACACTGAAAATCGGGTTTACAAAAGACACTTCTGAACGTCATTGTTTCATATCTTTAATACTGCCTTTAGTGGTCTGGCACTATTCAACTATCTCAGTATACTTAGAAATATAAAGTAATTATAGTTGGCTCAGTTATTCTAATCTAAGCAAGTAACTCCTATGGCAGTATGTTTACTCAGAACATATTTTCATTTCAAATATATGTAAAATTTCTCACAAAATCAGAACACAACTCACAGTTGAACAGAAACCTCAGTGCTTAAATGTCAACATTTAGTAAGACAGATACTACATATTAGTCGACTTTGAATATAAATAATTCACTCAAGTAAATGGGATATAACTTCTAACTTGTTTTAAAGGTGAAAGTCATTTTTTATGTAAAGCCTGACCAAAATAAGCTGGTCAAGTGCAAGACTGCTATATCATGGTATAAATTACACTAGACTAGTATATTTATTAGAGATTTGAATGCAGAGGTAAATGTATTTGGGCAACCAGATGTCCCCTAATTAGGGGGTAATGAGAGAAAAATGCATACCATGGACCAGGCCCCAATTTTCATTACTTCATTGATAACAATGTCTATTTTATTTACTGAAGAATGTTTTTTCCACTGGAAATGTACTTTTTTATTTTATGATGTTAGCCAGTGGTAAAAAAGAGAGGGGCAAACTAACACAAATCCATTTTCAATAACGTTATTTAACCATATTGATTGGGAATGGAATGCCTTCATTTTCTGCTCTGAAAATATCCTTTTTTTAAGTATTGCCTTACCAATTTACCTTTGATAAGTGATTCAGATAAATGATCTCTGGAATTTATAAATAAAAATATGTAAGTAAGAATATATGCAGATATATATTCTGAGATATCCCGTGATCTTATCCATACTTTTGATTCAAAATATAATTAAATTCTCAATAAACTGCATTTAAAATTTTAAACTTAAATTATCCTTCTGTACTCATTCTCTTTCTAGTTTTACATTTCTTTCTATAAATACTCAAATTAAAAAACAAAAATTCCCAATCTTGAAATCAACTCACAATGAAGCTCTGAGGTTAATTTATAACTTTTAAAATAGTTTGTTAAAATGTAAAAATCCTGAAATTACAAACAAAAAATGTATAATTTTACAGTATATATCTAATTTATTTTTAAAAAAAATATTCTGAATTGTTTTTATACAAGTAATCAGTGTAATTTTTTCAAATGAAACTTCTTTATAGGCTAGAAGAGAGTATGTGGTATTGCCCTATTAGAAACCAATACAAATTTTGTTTTCTTATGCTGGTACTTCAACTATTTCAAAGTAGTCATTTGGTAGAATCACGTAACTTCTCTCTGATACATCATCCTTCTCTTTCTGGAAGTGTACAACCTCCTTTAACTTTTCAAGTTGCCGTTCTTGTCTTCTGCATCTCTGCTGTGCAGTCTTGAGCTTTTTTCTGAGTTTTTCCACTTGTTGTTCTAGCTGATGAATTCTTTTTCTCTGGTGCATTGTATCCTCCACAGTATAGTTGTGATCACAGAAAACAGAGAGATTATCTGGAGTCTGAAGAGGAGGCATCAGTATTCCAATAGCAGCATCAACCTGGGAAATGGGAGGCGTCAAAGGAGTCGGGGGAAGTTGTTCCTGTGGCTCCAGAAGGTCTTCCTTCTGGACAATAACAGAGCAGATCTGATTTAGTAATTATAAAAAACAGTTCAAAAGAATTCACCCCCGAAATTTAAGACTACTAGATACTTCTGTGACTCCTTGGGACAGGTATATTCTAAAATGAGAAACAGTTTAATTATACTTTTCTATTTGAACAATATGGGAGGCAAAAAAGAGAATGATTGGTAAGAGTTAATTAAATACTAAGAATTAATTAAATACTAAGAACTTAAAACCAAGAGCGAAAACACTGAAACTGAACTGTGATGGATACAGAAAAAACAAAAAGTATACATACAGGAAGGGGTACTGGACAGTTCTGATCTTAAAGTAAGTTGCATGGTGAGATTGAATTTCTCAGTGTGAGGCTATTTAAGAAGCTGCATTTTGTATTTTTCAAAGGTATATCAGTGTGAGAGTGATTTTTACTCTCATTTACTTTTGTGATACTAAAATCTGATACTGAATTTTCCACAACGAACATATTTAATTTTATAAATGGAAATAACCCCATATTTAAGGTACATTACCTTGTCATGTGGCTCTGTACAGAGAAATATTGTGGGCACAGCATTCTCCTTCAGCAACTTGTTGTTGCACTCCCTCTTAAAGCAGTCTGGAGTAAAGTGTTCTGAACAAATGCTACTGTACTTGGTGGGCTTAAAGTTTTTTCTTCTGACAGCTGCCTCCCATTTTTTACAAAGACTGGGTCGAGTGAGAGGAAACCTAGAATAAGACATGCTTTAGTTTGTTACCCTTACTATTATAATTTTAAAGTATTCAAACTTTCCCTTTTAGGAAAGAACGATCTTACACTAATATTAACACACTAGGGTGTAGCTGATTAAAACACCTTCACTACTCTTGTAAGTGGGTGGTCCCTAGGAAAAGGGGAAGTTCCAGGTTCCCTGCCCCACCCAGGAGGAGGGTGGAACTGAGGAGAGAAAAAGGAAAAGAAGAGAAGGAATTGAAGAGAAGAAAAGAAGGAAGCAAGATGGAGAGCCAGAAGGAGACCTGAGGAAGCCACATGGAGCAGCAAGCATGTGATGAAGAAACCGTGCTTGTTTCCTGACCCTGGACTGGTTAAGGCAGATGTGGGTGAGATATCTGTAGGGAGGTGACCATGGCAGTGTTTATATTTTGATTTTGTTCTTTTCCTCCCAGATTTGTCCGGCCATTTCTGATGGGTCCCAGCCAGAAGGTGCTTTAGTTTGATGGCAGCTTTCAGGCCTTGCTTTGGGCCAATCCCTTTTGGGTTGACTTTTGCCCACAAGGGGATGGGTAACTTCAAGTGTTTGATTTAGACTTTACATTCTTTGTCTTCTGTATTGTATACTCACTGTATTAAAGTCCCTTTTCATTAAAGTTTTGTATGTTTTGTCTTGATGTGGCGGATGGCAGAGTAGGCAGGTTTGGGACTTCAGGGGTGCTCCTCTCTCCCTGTCCTGTAACACTCTCTATCTCATTTATTAATGTTTAACTTTTCATACTGAAGGCATTAAAAGTCTCAAGGGAAATCCAGATTAGAGGATGAATCAATATTTTTTCCCAGTGATATCCTATGTACTGAAAAAAACAAAACAAAACAAAAAACTGCTGAGAAAAGAGAAGCCAGGAAAAGAGGTAATCCTGTGGCATTCCTGCTGCATCTAGAAGAAATGGCCTCTAGAAGGACAAACCACCGTAGCAACCACTAGTAAAATTCAACACCCAGGACCTGTTGACTCAAAGAGGACAAATGGTCATGTTGGGAGCTCTATCAAGATCTTTTTCATCTACTCCCACAAAGCATTTTATTAAACTTTTTATTTTCTTACATCCTTGTTCATTTTGTACAATATTTATCTCCTCAGGTGTACCCATAAATCCCTCCACCACCACACTACTGGTGAACCAGCACCATAGTCCTTTTGCTCTTCCCTCTGGTTTTGCCTCCTCTCCCAGTCCCTCCTCTGCTGAATGCTTCAGCTGCTACTATTAAAAAAAACAAAACAAAAAACAACCCCCCCCCCTTCTTTAACATAAGGGATGAACTGCAGGCTAGCCCTTCTTTCCATTCACGCTACTGTTTTAACAACCAGCAGAAATTCGGGATGTGTTGTGAGAATGTCATTCTTAACTAGTTGCCACGGCCAAGGGAGGAAGGTTTTTCATATTTTTAGATTCTCTGCCAAGTCATTAGAAATACGGAAACAAGGAAGAGATGTGTGTCTGCGATTGTGTAACTATACCCTGCCCTGTTCCTACACTTTGCACGAACTGAATCCTGGGTGTTAAGAGTTCTTTCCACTGGGGGTTGGGAAGGAGAGGTGAGGAATGGCATTAACTCTCCCCATGCTATCGGCACTCTCACTTCATATTACAGTAAACATATATAAAAATGCATCCACTTCCCTTTACTCATTAGCAGTCTCCCACCAATAAAACCCAAAACTAAAGGATTATTTAAAAGTTTGCTTTCTAATTATTGGGTTTTCAGTAATCCACTGTTTGTACTAAAGATCGAATTTCTTAGTTCTCGGAAATTTATAATCGGGAATTCTTGTAACAAAAGTTAATGCGAATGCAAATTTCTAAGTACCGAACTTGACTGAATGTAAATGCCATTGTGTCCTACTCTGCTGACAGCTGCTTACCACTGAAGCATTTCCATTTTGTAGGGTCCCCACCTCACTCCCAATTTTCAAGAGAACCCCACCCCCCACCCCCAGGACTCTTAACTGCAGCATCTTCTGGATGAAAGAGCTCTGAACGCTGTGGGTCAGGCTCTTCAAGGGCGTCCTCTAGGCGCCCCATATAGTTCATATTGACCTTTATGATGGCATTCGATAATGGTCCGTATCATTATCCCCCATGTCAGTAATACCGTCCACTGAAAAGATAACACTCATCTTGGCAGTACCTGGGCTGTCTCAAAAGCTCAAGAGGGTCTGAAAACTTGGTTCCTAGAAACTGAGTCAAACGCATCCTTCCTGCAATCCTGGCCCCAAATCAATCCTTACTTTCCGTGCCGCTGACTTCTATACAACAAGGACAAAAATTGAACGAACCTCTCCCCTTTTCAAAGGTCTCTTCCTATTTCAAATGTACTTCTAAGGAGTGACCACTACTTGGCCTCTCTGTGACCCACAAGGGTGAAGCCAGTCGTCCCTGGCCCTTAGACTCCATGACCCTCGGGGCCTCCAGCATCGCTCGCTGGCCGGGAACCCGCCAACCAGGGAGGGTACCGAATCTTGCCCGGGGGATAGGATCTCCAGTGCGAGAAACGGTCGCTGCGGCAACGCGCACCAACAACCAGCAACTACCGGTGGCCAACAGCCCGCTCCGCCCTAGGCGGGCACGCCCACCGAGCCAGCCCTGTGAGACCCCCGGGAGCGTCCGGTCGCGCCCCGCCCATGGCCCCGCCCTCCATTAGGTCTCGCGCGGACACACGCCTGGCTCCGCCCCCCGAGCCTAAACGGCCGCGCGCCCCCAGCCCCAGTAGGGTCTGGCCCGCGAGGCGCGCAGCGCTCTTACTTGTGGAACGAGACGGGTTTATCCTTATCGTATCGGTTCTTGCAGCCGTAGGCGGAACAGGACTGCACCATCCTTCCGGTTCTCAGTCACTTCACTCCTGCCGCCCCTGCAGGCAGGGGAAGCTGCTGTCTGTGTCGCTGGGCTCGGATTTGACACCCTCGCTTCTTCCGTAGCTTTGGTCAACAGTTACAGTGATGATTGCCTCACTGAGGGGGAGTGGGGCGACTAACGTGCCCTTTTTTTTGTATGCATTAACAGAAAGACCACAGCCTTCGCCCGTCTCCCATCTCCAAGATGGCGGAGGCAGCTTCAGCTTCACCTCTCGCGAGGGGTTCGTCCCACTGTCTCTGATTAGCCCCGAGGTCAGAGGTAACGTTCTTTGGAAAGCAAGCTATTGGCTGATGCGCCGGCGTGTCGCGCGTCGGACTCGACGTTGCGGAAGTGGGCGGGCCTCTTCGCTTTCCTCCGGAAGAGGGAAAGGAACTGTTTGGGGGGAAGGGTGGAGGGAGGGAGAAGGGGAGGGCACGTGAGTCCGGCGCTAGTGTCGCGCCGCTGGTGGTGTTTCCTTGCATTAATTCATTGGAGGCGGTTTAGGATGGGGGGGTGCTACGGTGTGTTGGGTCATCTGTAAGGTCGAGTGGCCCAAGGACTGGTGTAAAGCTGAGGCCATTGGATCGTTAACTCCCATTTCTTTCAAAAAACAGCCACAGATGACGTCTATTTTGTAAAACTTAGTGGACTTCATCCCCAGACTGTTAATATTCATCCCACCACCCGTCTTAAGTGTACTACGTCCCGGTGAGATCAGGCGCCGCGCGCACACCGTACACATTCGCACACGCTAGCAGAATCTTTGGCTCCTCATTGGGCTGTTAATTGCTGGAATGATCTCCGCGTGCGGGGTTGGAAATGGTGAATTGCCGCAGCGATTTGCACATCAGAGAGTTTTGCCCCGTTCGGTTTTCCTCACTTTGTTAATCAGAACCTGTAATGCTGGATAGAGAGGACCTTTGAGCAGTTTCAGGACTCTTACTAAATTTTCCCTATCCCCACCTCCGTATGTTGGCGTTTCCCCAGGGTTCCATTCTCTGCCTTCCTCCTGAAGTCAGTCCACCACCACGGCTTTCTGAATCACGTTTCTTAACCTGAATCTGTGTTGCTTTCGTATTATCTTTGAATTATCTATTCAGTTGCTTACGCCAGTAACCTTTCAGTCATTTTAGACTTCATTTTCCGCATCACTTTGTCACCGGTTTAAAGATTAAATAAATTCTCGGAAAATCCATGCGTTTCCATCTCCTGTCGCTATTCATGATCAGACGCTCATGGCCTCAACCTTGCTGCAACTCCTGTCTAAATAGCCATTTCTACCCGTCTCCATTTTATCCTCGACAGAAACTAATGCCCCTACCCTGCTCACATTTCAGAAGCTACCACCTCTGCTGGGGTAGAAATCCAGATTTCTTTGGGTGAGCCATAAAGTCCTTTGGGACCAGGAACTTGTCTTACTGTCATCTCCTCCCACTTGTCCTTACCTCTTCCCCAGCATTTAATGTAGAGGCTAGGTTCTCTTATGACTGCCTTAAATGGGGTTTCCTCTTGGCCTGAAATGCCCTGGCCTGAAATGCGCTTCCCTGACCTGGCCACCTGTAAACTGAAACTGAAATGTTACCTTCTCCAATATGTTTTTCTTACGTTCTCTTCCTAACCTCCAGATTAGGCAGATGTATAGACACCTCTCGTTCCAGTGAAAATGTGCACTTACCTCTGTATACAATCGTAAGCCATATTGTAGTGTCTGCATATTGTCTGTCTTCCTCATCAGAACTGAGGTCCTGTTGAGGATAATGACTTAGTACTGTAACCCCAGCCATTTGCAGTGTCTAAGCAAGCATCCAGACATTCTTGGCTCAATCAACTGGCCCCAGAAACTATATGTCTAAAATATTTTCAGAGCCACATACCCGTTCCAAAATAATAGTTTATTAGCATTTACCCAGATCTTGAAACGTGGTAATAACTCCTTTGTGATTTGCTATACAATAAATACCAGAATGTGGTAACTGCTTTGAACTAAGTATATTTTAACTTGGTAGTTTACTGAATTTTTTACTCACCGATTGAACAAATATTGAAAATCTGCTATGTTCTGTGCATGGTTCTAGGGATGGATACGTTAGGATGCATTTATCTATAAAGCAAAAAATGCTGCCCTCATGGAGCACCTTTTCTGCTCAGGATTGGAGGAAACCCAACACATGTGACCACAGGGCATGCTATAAGGGGAAAGGTGCCATGTAGGATGAGTGGACATGATACAGTGGACATGATAGGCCTAATAGAGCGAGGTGAGCACTGGGCAAGGATTTGGAGTTAGTGAGAGTTAGCTGTGAGGATATCTGGGGGAAGAAACTTGCAGGCAGAGCAAGTGGTTAAGGCAAAGCCTCTGGGACTCTGTCCCTGGCCTGTTCAAAGAACAGCAGAGGCCTCTGGCTGGAACAGAGTGAGCTAGCAGGGTCAGATAGGTTATGAAGCCAGAGAAAACACAGACAAGGTCATTTAGGGCTAATGTAAAGACTGACTTTAACTGAAATAGCCTGTTGCGTAACACAGGTGATACTGTTTTAAATGATTGTGTAAGGAGCACACAAGTCAATTTAGAGGCAAAGAGGCAGGACTAATTGGAAAATTCTGTGATCAAGTAGGTGCGAGATGATGGTGGGTTACCTCTTAGTAATAGTGAAGTGAAAGGAGAGGGTCATTGCCTGCTTTTAGTGAGGATGGTTAGGTTGCCTATCTGTGGAGAGAACAAATCTAGTACTGTGAAGAAAGGGTGCGAGGCGCATGGGGAGAGCATTCCTGGAATATGTGCTACGCTACGTACCTGTGGCAGTAAAGAGTTTAGTATTTGTAGAGACTGGATGGAGGCGGTGGCTGTTTAACCCAGAGCTGGGGGAGGAGGACATGAAGTGAGGTTTAAGAAGTAAGTCCTTGGTTTCAATTTTCAGTGCAGCAGGAAGCCACAGGCTGATTTGAGGAAGACATGATTTACTAATGTCCCTAGTGTAGGGCCATTTCTAGCAGGTTACCAGTTTATCAGAGGGGACAAAAGTCAAGTAAACAGACCAGTTAAGAGTAGGCAGGCAAGCCATGTTGGTAACTTGGATTGAGGTGGTGGCAGCAAAGGTAAAATGGTTAGGATTCTAGATATATGTCACAGGTAGACATCCCAAGGCTTCCTGATGAGAAAGGGGAAGAATCCAGATATTAAGGGTGACTTGCTAGAGTTTTTATCTTGAGCATTTAGATGGTTAGATGGATAGATGATAATGCCTTTTACTGAATTGCAAGTGAGGTTTTATAAAGAGAGCTATTTAAAAAATAGTGTTAGATTCCCAACAAATAGGGCTTAGAGTGGTAGTGGTAAGGGTGATTTAGGAAATGGGGGAGGGTGACAACTGAATGTGGGATGTAAGACTGGGGAATATGAGAACAAAATAAGGTAGCTTCCACAGGTAGGAAATGCAAGCTGCTGAGGACACGTTGGAGGATCACCAGCCAGGGCAGCGTACCCTTGAGGTTTATGATCTTGAAGCACTTTAGAGTGAAACCAGTCACCTAGTGATTGGTTGGTTTTCCCCCAGTCACGTTCTTTCCTTTGCTCCCTTTTCTTCTGGTTAGCTTTCCTTACACTGGAAATTAAATACACATTCTTACTTCTTGTGAAATATAATCCTGTTTCTTTCCTTCAAAATTTATGGATAAATGGGTGAACTGCACGTATTTTTTTAAAAAAGATTATTTATGCATATAAGAACTGGGGTGTAGGCCAGAGGCTGGGGGCTGGGGGAGGATTCACCAGAGACAGACTAGGGAGAACAAGCAGATCTACTGAAATACTCGGCTGAGGGGAGCAGCCAGTGAGACAGGAGAGACCTGCTGCACTATGTGGTTCACCTCCCTGGCCCGGGATTGAGCTCATGCCACAGCGGCTTATGATAGCTGAGACTTAAACACCTGTACCATCAAGGAGGCTCTAAACTGTACGTGATTTTCTAAAAATACAGAACTGAATGTTGAATTCTTTGTAAAACATCCCCTCAGCCCATGCTAAGTGTTCGCCCATAACTTCTAGTTCCAATTCCATTCTTATTGATCAGAATATAGATGACCCAACTTTAATTTTAAAAACAAAAACATTTCCACCTAATAAATTAAAAAATAATCTAAGTTAATTAGAAATGTGATGCAGTATTGGATTTCCATGAGTGAAAAAGCCATTGTAACCATTACATTGAATGCTGTTTCAGAATTCTGAGTTTTAAAGAGGATATCAAAGAAAAAGGAACATAACACCAAATTTTAAATTTTAGATATGTTGGCATTTATTCAAAATAACTGCTTGACAAAATCTTAAATCACAAAGTTTGAACCAAATGGTCAATCCTTTGCAACAACTCTGTGAGGTAGTTATCTGCACAGCCACTAGGACCGACACAGTTCATTCTTCCTTAAAAAGTTCCTCTCAAACAGAAAATTGTAGTAGCTGAAACCACTGTACCAGTGGGCACTTAGGACAACTGTTTCCTCCATCTTGTTTCCCACAGAGCTGCCCAAGTCATCTGCTCCGGGGGTTAGGCCATCTGTTTACTTCAAAGTTAAAGTATTGCTGTTCACAAAAATCCATAATGTTGCTTTGATATATATATATATATTCTAACTATGAATAAGAAGTGTTTCTATGACGTTTAAAACACTGACTGCTTTAAATTATTCTCTCAGGTCCTGTCTATATATCAGTGATCAGTAAAGATGACATTATAAACATCTACAATTCTGAAATATCTGCATCCCTTTTCAATTTAAAGAGACTTTATTTCACACAGTGTTTTTGTATGTTACAAAATGTGGTACTATACACCTCTACCAGGCAAGTCTTGGAAGGAAAACCAAACATTATAATAAAGTTATTTTAACTAGAAATGCAACATTTGAAGCAGAACACATGCATAGAAAATTAAATAAATCCTTCCCCAAATTATACTGCAATAGCTCCACACCCATTTTGTAACTTAGGGTAGGAAATGTGTGGAAGTTGTGTAACAAACTTTCTACATTTCAAGTTGGTGACTACTGAAATACTTTCTACGCAGTGTACTACCCTATTAAACATTTGATTTGGAAGTATAGTATTAGGATTCATTAATTCTTGATACATTATCTTTCTAGACCTTTCCTCTTAGGAGTATCCAAACTGTCTTGTTCTCATGTTGGGAAAGACTTCCAAAAGATCCCCTTTTCATAATAGCTTTCAGTCTCTCTGAACCCATGCACGAGTTGCTGGTCTAATACCAGTTCAGTTATTTATTTGTAGATATCTTCAAAAAAATTTTTCTTAATCTATAACAGAGATGCCATCTATGAAAAGGTGATATTCTGCCTTGTGGACATAATCCTAAGAATAAAATGAAAAGTGCAAAATTTGCCTTAATTATAATGTGATATATTTTAGCAGTTTTTCTCTCAAATGATCATTTGTCTAGGCCCACATTAAAAAACACTGCTACTGTTATTTCACTCATCTTATTAGTTGATGACTAATTGAACTTGAAAGAATGTGAGCATCTTTTCTTCCCTATATTTATATAGTGAGTTTTATTAATACATGAATGGACAGCATGAATATCAGTGACTGAGCTAACACTGACCCTGGGTATCAATGACCACCTTACTGTTCCCTAACAAGAAGCACCAGCTGAGAGAGTTAGCATTTCATAATACTTATAGTTTTGATCCTTTTATTGGAATCCATCAATAAATCAAGATAACTTTCCTATTGAGTCACCTGGGATAACTTTCGATCATTTGCACATGATAATCTGGGGCTCTACACTGCCACCTGGGGCATCCTCACAGTATCTGACTAGAGAAAACATGTTTGTCTGTTGGTGGCTGTGGTTTGTCAGTAATTTCTCTTGTCAAATTTAATGTTCCTAGTACCCTCCCAATATCATTCATGTGTATAGCCAGCCATGAAATCACTTGCCTCAGAAATGCAATTTTGCAGTATTACCTAGGTTCCTGAAAAAGAAAAAATTCCCTTTACAAGTTACTTTCCTATACTATTACTTTAAAAGGAAAACTTGTTTAAATGTCACAACTGAGAATATCAGGAATGCTGGCTAGCGATAAATATCATACATCTATTAAGAATTTTTCTGTAAACCAGAATATGAAATCATTAAAATAAAGTTCAAGTTTCTTCTTTCACCTTCAGCTAATGAAGAATTGTATTAGAATGGAAGTGCTGAACAGCTCCAAATACACAAAGTTTAGGTATTACCGAAAGAAATACTGACCTTTTCCTCAATATTGTACAATAGTTTATTTTAACAAAAGTATTTAGATGAGCCTCATAGTGATATATAGGTACTTGCTGAAGGAAAAATTAGATGTACATTTAACAATATACATTCTTACTATGATACTACTATACATCCAATTACTCAGTAACTTGGGAAAGAGAAAATATAAAAGCGTCCCTTTTTATATAATTCCATTTTTCCCAGAGGATTTAATGACAGCCAGAATCAAGATACAGTTGTAAATTACTGTTAGAACCTATAACATAAAAATTCCAGTCATATACTACAAGGCATATGCCAAATGATAAATGCTTGTCATACAGTGGTTTTTAAGCTTATAATATTAAAATACTTTATATTGCCCTGGGTCCTTTTGTCTGACTTTACACATTAGCTCATTTTTTTGTAAACTCATTTTTTCATCTGTTTAATCTCTGTGTTATCACTTCTCGATACATAATAGAGATGTAGATAAGCAACAAAAAGATGACAAAGAAATCATCTAGAAATCCTAGAATTCCAAACAAGGCTTCCGGTACAAAATCTAGAGGTGAGATAAGATAGAAAAAAGCTCCCATCAAACAAAGTATTATTCTGATACGGAACATCCAGAAAAGGCCCCCGACTGAAAACATTTCCCTGAATGCATGCCTCAGTAATGTGGGTAGATCCATAATTCTTTCCATAATCTGGTGGGAGGAAAAACAAATATTATGGTTTGGCACTTTATTAGAACTCAAAATAAAATTTTCTTAACAACATGCAGACAAATGCAGTTAGCATGACAAGAAGTTTCACATACTAAGCACCATATTCCTAGATAGGCATTTTATTTAAAAATAGTTCTTTGATTATTAGGTTTTATAAAATAGGTCTTACTGCAGCTCACTGAAAAGCAACTCAAATGTCAAGAAACTTAAAATATATAGTAATACATATTTTATGTATACTGCAAAACTCAAATATCTAATTTGAGTTAATGAAACAGATGAATCTCATTAGAGTAGTCTCAAGTCTCAGCTCTTAAGTCAGACAGATCTGGGTTTGTTGAATTCAAAGTCAATCACACATTAGCCTGGTGACCCTGGATAAAGTTATTTAACCTACTAGAACTGCAAGAGATAATGTATATAAAATACTTTTATGAAATTACCAGATATAGTCTGAAAATATACTAAAGACATCAACTGTGATGGTTTTTATCATCTGCTAGCAGTGCCTCTCCTTAGGGTGTTTATCCTTGTATTTAAGCAAATCTCTACCACAAATGTTTTGGGAATGCGATACCCTAACTAAAATGTGCAGAAACACACTAGGCTTTATATAATGAGCATAATTTTCACAGCTAAAATTTAACAAATTGTATGAATTTTTAAAATTGAAGGATGTAAAAAAAGTTGGAACCTTCAATGCAATGATGGTGGAAATGTTACAGCCCTTTGGAACCAGTTTGGCAGTCCCTTAAATTGCTAAACAAGATTTATCAGAGCATATATCAGTTCCACAATTAGACATATACCCAAGACGAATGAAATATGTTCACACAAAAATGGTAAACGAATGTTCACAGCAGCATTATTCGTAATAGCCAAACAGTGGAGGCAATTCAAATGTCCATCAACTAATGAATGATAAACAAAATGTGTTTTATTTGACCATAAAAAGCAATATGTACTGAGATAGCTTGCAACATGGATGGACTCTGAAAATACATCAATTGAAATAAGCCAAACACAAAAGGCATTGTGTGACTTGACTTAAATGAAATGACAAAGAACCTAGAAGAGTCAAATTTATAGATAATGAATTATTGGTTGCCAAGGAATAGGGAGAGGAAACAAGGAGAATGAGAGGGGCTGCTAAAGTTTTGTGGATGATGAAAATACTCTAAAATTAAATAATGGTGATAATATTTTCAGTCTATACTATTTGTATGACTTTGAAAGTTAGTTTGTTCTTTGCAAATTACACATTTGTCCTGTATAGTTGTTAGTTGACTATGTGATTTATAAGGCCCCACATAGTAATGAATGACCAAGACTCTTCAACATAACTTCTCCTATTATCTCATTTCTCAAGGGTTGCCAGATGCAAGGAAAACTAACCAGAGGAAGTAAATCACTTCCTGTAGTCATTCCACTGCCCATGGTTCAGTTATTTTTAACAAATATGTAAAAATACAAAGCCAGCTCTAGGAATGTATTTTGTTTACAAAGTACCAAAGTAGTTGAGAGGGAGATGGTAACAAAAATGGGAGGAATTGAGACATTGAGGAGAAAACAATTTTAAAACAACAAAGAAAATCTAACTCCCTTTGGAAGACTTTTTGCAAGAAAAAATACCATTTTAGAATTATTTCCTATGTTAATTTTTATTCTCTATAGAGAAGCAACTATTTAAAGCAAAGCTGTTAAACAGGTTTTACAGTCTATGACAGATAAAATATTCTAATCATTGGTCTATGTATTTTGAATAGTTTTCTATCTTTTATCAGAGACCTTGTTCACTTCTCAGTATCATTTATACAAAATCTATGATAATTACAAAAGAAATGAAATTGGTTACTAAGAAATATTTGTACGTTAATCTTACTTGGAATGAGTAATATTACATATTAAGCTTTGACAGTTACAAAAATATTAAATATTTAAAATGTTAAATATCTGACAATTACAAAAAATGAGCAGTGGTACATTTCACACTTAAAAATATGAATATCTTACAATGCTTTTTTATGTCCACTCATAGTTCTTGAGTTTGAAACATGTACTCTTATAGCTACCACTGTGTTTGTGGGTAAAGAATAACAAGAGAAGCTTCCAAATAACTGGAGGACAACAATGATTGGATTAATTTCTTTTAAATATACGTCTAAAATATTTACTCACTGTCATCCACAGCAGTTAAAACTTATGCCTTTTAAGGAAATGTGTATCAAGTCTCAATGAGATGCCATCTCACACCAGTGAGAACAGCACACATACTAAAAAAAACTAGCAACAACAAATGTTGGTGAGGATATGGAATGAAAGGAACTCTCCTACACTGCTGGTGGGAATACTAACTGGTAAAACCACTATGGAAAACTGGAGGTTTCTCAAACTGCTAAAAATGGAGCTTCCATATGACCCACAATTCCACTCCTAGGATCTACCTATGGGACACAAAAAACATTAATTCTAAAGGACATCTGCACCCCTGTTTGTTGCTGCTCTATTTATAATAGGGAAGATGTGGAATCAACCCAAATGTCCAAAAGTAGATGACTGGACCAAGAAGACGTGATATATATCCACTATGAAGTATTACTTAGCAATCATAAAAATAAATTCATCCCATGTACAGAAACATGGATAGAGCTGGAAGGGAACATGCTTAGTGAAATAAGCCAGAAAGAAAAAGAAAAATACTTGATGGTTTCACTCACAGCAGAAATGTAAGGGGTCAGGGGGAAAAAAAAAAACAACCCAATTGTAATAAAGTAAAAATGGAAACAGCTATAAACCAGAGATATTCTATGGGGGTGAAAAGGGGAATAGGATCAAAACTGGGGTGGGAAGAGCACATGGGACTATGGTGATGGCTTAATTTTGATGGTGGGAAGTCCATAGGGATTACAACCGAGATGAAAAAATCTACAAAATGAAGAAATATATATATATA